CGTATTCTCCCCAAACGCTTGGTTTATGTTGCGTGCAGCTTTTGCAGCACTATTACCAAGTTTGTACTCATATAAGAAAATGACGCGAATGTCGGCAGAATTCATATCGGTAATAAACTCAAAAGAAATAAAAAAGGGAAGACCTTCGAGAAAACCTATTTTGTTGAAATGAGTCTCTGGCAATGGACAATACGAGTATGAATGAGGTTATGCCAAATACAAAAGTATAACGAAAACAGGGAGGAAAACGTCCGCATGTAAAGAGAATGCGACATTTCATACGCACCAACCTAATAGAAGTTACGATATGGAATGCCCGGGACTCTTTGCTCGAGGGTTTTATCTCCGAGACCGCCGCCCATTGGAAAGTTTTGCCTCCTTGGACCTCTGATTCCTCCTAACCGGCGGTCCTGAGGGCAAAGCCTCCGGATAGAGAATTCCGGGGAATTGGATGGTGAAGCACCCGCATCCCATATGAGAACTTCTTTTACAGTAAGAGAACTTGTAAGAGCTCGAAAGTCTTAAATCCTTCGAGACAAGTTGACAACTAGAACGCCGATAAGGAGACGAAATTTATAGAGCCGGAATAATTTCAAAGTTCAGATTCCAAACTTTCCATAGGAGCTTTTGCTAATATTCTCAGAATCTGTCATTTTAGTATAAAATAGATTTATGAATTTAGTAAGACGAGGAATTTAAGTGTCAATAACCAAAACAACTCAAATATTTTGCATATTGCTCGAAACTGTATCCTTGACAATACATGTCAAGATTGTTGATGGAAGGAATTGACCCTATGTGAATATTTATCATATTTCAACGCAAAATTCTGGTACTTTAAAATTATATATCTTGAGAACTTTATGCGACTCCCATATAGTTCGTAAGAACAAATTGACTCAAAATCTTACTCTTAATAACACATCTGAAAACCCAAAAAAATTCGAAAAGTGTAACTTTTTTAATATAATTACCGTTGATCGCTGTAAGTAAACATAAAGCAACTTAAAAAATTCGTTACATTTTGCAAATACATCGATATATAATATGAATGTGCAATAATTAATATCACTAATCGATTTCTCTTTATTATCATGTAAAAAAGATTTAAAATGATATTAAGGTGATTGAAAAGTGAATATTTTGTGATACACCGAACAACTTTTATCTGAACACATTTTTTATTTGACCTTACTCTGTGAAGATATAATATATGATGGTATATATGGTGATATATTGAAATAGGATACTCTGTATAACTATTTGGGCCTTTTGAAAAACATTCATTATTACTTTTAAAATGATACAAACTGGAAGAGAAGCAAAAAGAAGAGGAAAAAAAAAAATATGGAAAATAATAAAAAAAATATAAATGAATCAAAAGAGGAGTGGATTGTAAAGATAGTGAAGAAAGAAAATAAAGGAAGAAGTACTACAAAGGAGCGAAAGAGTTGAGAAAAGGAAGAAAGAAAAGAAGAAAATGGTAAAGAAGAAATAAAATATGGAAAAAGAAAAGAAAAAATGAAATAAGTGAAAAAGAAGTTGTAAAAAAAATAGCGAAAAGAAATGAAATAGAAATAAAAGAAGAAAAAGGTGAAAAAGGCAGAAAAACAAAGAAAATAGGAGAAACGAAAAAAGAGAAAAGTGTTCATTATCTATGTCCCTTTTGGTGGCGCGTGCGTTTGCTTTGCTGCCACCGCTCATAATATAAAACATATTAATATAAAACACATTAGTATAAAACAAATTAAAATAAAAAACAAAACACTTATTTAAAAAAAGAAACAACTGATTGCAATGGGAAAAATGCAAAGTAAAATTAAAGAAAGAAAAAAGAAAGAGAGAGAGAGAGAGAGAGAGAGAGAGAGAGCAAGAGAGAGAGAGAGAGAGAGAGAGAGTGAGAGAGGAAGCTGATGTTTGCTAAAAAATCTACGCCTATGCGGTGATGAGCGTTTTTCATTTCGAAAAACATTTATTTTCTTGGAGCTATCTGATTCATCTATCTCACACTGTAATCATCTATCCATTTATACATACAAAATCACTAACCAAATCAGTCACATATTCATTCTTATGCATATTATTAGCAGCGTCAGCAAAGCTTTTGACTTTTGTCTTTTTTCATTTCTATTTCACTTCTTTTCTTCACTACTCTTTTTTTTTTATTTCTCTGATATTTTTCATACTTTGTGTTTTTTATTTTTCTTTCTTTCCTTAACTCTTTTGTTTTTCCTTGGTATTATTTAGTTTCTTTTCTTCGCTGTTTTTATTATTCTTTCCTCTTTCGATTTTTTGGATCTTTTTCCGCTTATTTCTTCTCTCTTCTTTTTACCTCTTCTTTTCACATTTTTCTCTTTCTCATTTTCTCACTTTATCTTTTTCTTTCCTTTTTGTTTCTCTTTCAATTTTTTCATACCATGTTGAACGTGATAATGAAACAGTCTTTCAAAACATCAAAGTGCCAAACCATGCCAACCACCAAAACACCAAGCTACATATCTTCAATTACTCATGACATTCTCTAGAGATGTCAAGCCAGATATTGCACAGCTGAACTCTACTCGGCAAGACTTTTCCAACGATGCATAATACATACCCATTTACGAATGATATTTCATGTACTTTCTTTATAAACTAACAAAGCTCCATGCCCTAATATATTTTCCTTACTTTCACCGCCCATTTTTTCCGCCTCTCGTCCCTTCCCTCTCATGCTTTTAATAGTCAAGATAATAATTCCTACAGTTCAATCGCTTATAGGAGTAATCTGAAGAGACATACCTTAGGTTTCTTTTCTGATTTCAAATATATGTGCAATACTAGATTACGTCCTTCGTTGCTTGCAATATTATAACATTCCACTGTTATTTCACACGCACTGTTATTTCACACGCACCATTGCTCATAAACAGTCAATAAGCCCAAGACATTTGTATTAAACTGCTTTACAGAGCTTATTCCAACGCTTTACGCGCATTGATTCGCTAACGCTAACTAATGTTTTAACCAATAACTCAATACTTACCGTAGTTGTTTGCAAAATATATTAGGATTTTTTTTATTTAGTTTCAGGAGCTCTACCTGCATACGAGCGCTAGTCTACTTAAATTCAGATATTTTATATATATAATATAAAGAATTACCTCTATAAAAATTTTGCTTCTGCGTCTGTAATTCGAAACTATCACTTTCTGAGCCATCACCACCTAAAAGATAATAAAATAAAATATCTATATTAATACTTCATAATAAATATATATATAAAATTAGAGAAGAACTTTTTATGGACATATAAACATAATAGATTATTTCTTATATTTATCGAAGGTACAAGAACATTAATTACACAGGATATCCCACAAAAACCTAAGAATTATATTGTCGAATATTATAAATAATATTTGATAAATGAAAAAATAGTACGAAGAGAAATAAGAATAATACTTATGCATAATACATAACATGGAATAATGATACACGATCAATTGTGCTGATCAGTAAAATATTCCGAAAACTTTCTTTTCGTTCTATAAAACTCTAATAATCTAATTCTAATAATCAATAAATAACCATAATATTAACATTGCAATTATAACATATAAAGCCTTTGTAATACAATCAAATGTGAAATAAAAAATAGGTAAAAACTAAAGCAGTACATGGTGTTTTAAAAAAGTTTGAATACTTTCTCAGTGCAATTTGAAAAGCATCTGATGATTCGATAAAAATATTAGACTTCTGGGAATTAATAAAAAAACAAGTTTTCTTATTATTTATCGATTGCATTCCGAACTGCATCGAAAGAAATATTCAAACGGTTTTGAAATTTAATATATAATATTTAATGAGAAAAAGGATAGTATGCAATATTTAGAAAAAGAAAATGTTTACGTTAATATACAACGAATGTTTGAATCGTAATTATTTGGATTCGCTTGAATCTTTTTGGCATCAGTACTGTTGGGTTGGCAAATAAGTTCGTTCGGTTTTTTAATCGGAGTAGGTTTACTCGTTCTGCTATCTCTTTTCCACAGCACTATCGCACAACGCGCTTGCGTAGCTGAAAAGCGACGTCCCACATAACCTATTTGTAAACATACGCCGGTTAATACCAGAGTATTGTGCGTACTGCACGGTTGCAAATATGGAAGAAAAGAACGTCCATTTTCGCCATATTTTACTTTTTTATTTCAAAAAAGCAAACGAGCTGCGGAAGCTCATAAGAAGATTTGTAATGTGTATGTGGACGATGCTTTAACAGAACGTGTGTGTCAAAAATGGTTTGCCAAATTCTGTTCTGGAGATTTTGATCTTAGTGACACGTCCCGTTCTGATCGTCCAGCAGAGATTGATTCAGCTGTAATAAAGAATACCGTCGACAAAAATCCATCGCAAACAGTACGAGAGATTGCTACGACACTTAATATATCCCACACAAGTATAGAAAACCATTTGCGTCAGTTGGGATACGTTTCTCGCCTCAATGTTTGGGTGCCGCACGAATTGACCGAGGCCAACTTAACCGCTCGCATTTCCATCTACGACGCGCTGCTGAAACGCCAAGAAAACGATCCATTTTTGTAGCGGTTGGTTACGGGAGATGAAAAGTGGATCGTCTACGATAACGTAGTACGTAAAAGATCATGGGGAAGCAGCAGTGGACCACCACAAACAACCTCGAAGACAGGATTGCACCCGAAGAAAATTATGCTCTCAGTGTGGTGGGATTATAAAGGAAATCATTTATTATGAGCTCTTATCATCAGGCAGGACGATCGATTCAACTGTATATTGCTCCCAATTAACGAAATTGAATCAAGCAATACGTTCGAAACGTCCAGAATTGGCAAATCGAAAAGGAGTCGTCTTCCACCACGACAATGCCAGACCCCATACTTCATTAACAACTCGGAACAAATTGTTAAGGCTTGGCTGGGATGTTTTGCCTCACCCTCCTTATTCACCGGCACCCTCTGATTATCATTTGTTCCGGTCGCTACGAAATTCTCTGAACGGGAAAAACTTTGCTAATAATGAAGCTGTTAAAACGCAACTGGATCAGTTTTTTGCCGGTAAACCTCAGACGTTTTATGAATGTGGGATTATGAAATTGGTAAAAAGATGGCAAGAAGTCATAGAAAAGAATGGTCAATACATTATTGATTAGTATATATTTTGTATATTAAATGAATTGTATTTTATCCAGTCAAAAAAACCGAACGAACTTATTTGCCAACCCAATATATTCTTTTCATTTATATGTAATAGCATATTATTTGATTTCATTATATAGTGTTGAAGAGAGTTTGAACAATATATTAATATTGTATCGCTCCGACATCAGCGTTTGACTTTTACTCGTCTATTGTTTTTGATTATTTAATAACATATGGCCCACATTTTAATATATGATTTTGTTACGTATTAAAAAGTAGGTCATGTATTATATTCATTTCATAACTATTTATTAACCCTTTGCGGACGGAACCGTCTGGCGGGCGAACGTCGTTGTGGACGAGAAGTATCGGGGCATGCAGCCAAGAAAATATGCCAAAGGAAGATAAGCAATACATCGAGGTCTGATGACTTTCTTCCGAAGAAAACGTCACATGAGTACTACATTGTGGCATTATGTGTTTATTATATTATGATACTGCGTGCCTTGTCGCTCAGAACGATAAATATGCATGGGCGGCTATTTGCCGACACGCGTCCGCAAAGGGTTAATTATTAGAGCAAAAGAAAAGTCCGAAATATTTTATACATCTGCTCAATTAAACGCGTGTTATTTTATCGACGTATCTTTTTACTTGAATATAATTTATAAGAATTTTATATATTTCTCATTTTGAAGTTTATTAATTAACATGTTCGCTGCCAACTACGAGAATACTCGTAGTTCGTATATGAGCTAACTACGAATATATTCGTATGTCGATTACCGACTTTCTATGCCAAGCACAAATCAATTCGTAGTATAAGCACGTTAACTTGAACCTATTATTTTATGAATAAAGTGAAGAGCACGTTTGGTGGTTTGGTAGAAAGAAATATGCCCGAAGAGCGTGGCAGCGAATGTGTGAAGATGGCTGCGGTGAGGAAAAATGGGGATCTTAACCCATTTACCTACCCACCTCTCGGACGACCATATTGTTTTATGATGTCAGAAACGAGATGTCAGAAGAGAGAAATGATATATAGAAAGTTTCTTGCAACATGTAGCTTTATTTTCGAGTTTTTCTTAAAAACATATTGGTTTTGTAATCCTGAAACTTATAAAAAGTGCAGAAAATTGAGATATCTAGCTGATATGTCACGTAAAATAATTCCTAAAACAATGATATATTTATCACCCATTCTCAGTTGTCATCGTGTTTTCTGTCAGCTCAACTATCACATTAATTTCTCGATTTTCATTGTGTATCACCACTACGTTACTAGTTTCCTGCACATTTCGCATCTGTGAGGATCATGATAATGTACATATCTCACAAATAAACTGAAAAATAACGCGATAAGTTGCAAGAAATTTTACAATATGCCAAATAATGCCTAATATCCGCCTGTAAATTCCGACTTTTTCTAACTGCGGAGCCACATTAGAATTGCTAACTTAGCCACAGCTTTACCGCGTCAGTAACACTACCAATAGTATAACGTATTATATGATAATTGAATTTGTACTAATATTTTATCTCACATAAATAAGTGCGATGTTGTCGGATGTTTGGCAATCGACGTTGCCGAATGTTAGAGCTGAGATTGAAATATGTATGCTCTCCTGAGCTGAATCTTTATCGCTGGCCGCTCTTTATCACGCGTTCGTGCTCATCTTTTTCCCATTTTTGTCATTTTTGTTTTCATGAAATACGCATAAAAAGAATGATTGACGAATTGAGCTAATTGCGTTTTTATATTTATGATTGCAAATATAATAGCATGTTATAATGAACCTTTTATATTACAGACAACATAACGTCTAAAATCACAAAACATAAAACGTCTTCAAGACGTTTTACAAAATAAGACATCTTACAGACATATTTAAGATGCCTTCCGAATATTTTGTGTCCCGATTTTAGATTTACGTTGTCTGGGATCTTATTAGCGAGAAAATAAAATATGACAACCTAGACAGCACAGGAATATTATGTGAATGTTCAACGAATATTCGTTACAAATACTTGTATGTTCATAGAATATACTCGTAGTAGAAATTGAATCTAGTAATTGTCTAGTCATGACATAGAAAAGATGGATTTTACATCGCTACTAACTAGTAATGCTAGCTAGCCATTAGCTCGGAACGTAACGCTCATTTCTCCTAATGACTATAATAGAAAAATTAGCTAATAGCTAGATATATGAAATATAGTACACAGTCATGAGATGAAAAATCTCAGATAGGCACTAGCCAAAAATGTAACGCTCATTTTTTCTAGTGGATGTAAAAGAAAAATTAGCTAGTAGTTAGATATAATAGAATGAAAAAATTTATTTTTCTTTTCATTGATTTCTCTCTCACTTTTTCTCTGTATCAGGAATGCCTAATCCCTAGACAGCTTTCTTATCTTAAAATTTATATATCACGGATTTCTTCTAGTGGCTAGATAGTTTATTTTAATCAGAGTTTGATTTATCGAACAAAACGGTGCATATTTGTTTATTTTAATCAGAGTTTGAGTTATCGAACAAAACGGTGCATATTTGACTTAAATCGGATCATTGTAACTATGTTAAATAAAGCCTCCAATTTGATACAAAAATAATGGATTACTTTTTACTAGACCTTATATTAGTCCGCATATCGAAATTATGGTTATGTTACGGTATCAAACTCTCTCTAGTAATTGTTTAGTAGCAACATATAAATCCTAAATTTCAGAGTTTGATGTCAGACCTAATTAGATATCTGTTTAATTATTAGTAAGTATAAATATAGACAATGATGTAAAAAAATTTTCTATCTAGTGGGTGGACAGTTCTGACATTCAATTTCTATTCAGGATTGCTATATTGCTATTAAACTGTTATTAGGTGGAGTTTGATATTCAATTTTCATTAAGGATTTACTGAGTTTTCTATCTTATTACTGTGTAATTATTTCGTTTAACCTGGAGTTAAAACTGCGAATAAAATATATGTAGCTAATGTAAAACGTTCACTAGCGACTGTGATAGTGTTCTAATACGTAAGGTGGGCGATT